AATCAGTATACTTTGATTACTGAGTCGTAGTCTTTAATCAAATCACTTAACTGAGTAGTTTTAAATACAACTCACTATCTAACATTTTTGTAGGTTAGATTACTGAGTGATATTCTCACCATCTTTAAATGTGTAATTTTAAATAAACTCAATTTTCTGCTATTATTAGCGTTGATTACTGAGTAATATTCTTTAATCTAATCAGTATACTTTGATTACTGAGTTGTAGTCTTTAATCAAATCAGTATACTGAATAGTTCTAAATACAACTCACTATCAATTTTCTACTATTATTAGCATTGATTACTGAGTAATATTCTATAATCTAATCAGTATACTTTGATTACTGAGTCGTAGTCTTTAATCAAATCACTTAACTGAGTAGTTTTAAATACAACTCACTATCTAACATTTTTGTAGGTTAGATTACTGAGTGATATTCTCACCATCTTTAAATGTGTAATTTTAAATAAAATCAATTTTCTGCTATTATTAGCGTTGATAACTGCGTAATATTTATTAATCTAATCAGTATACTGAAAAGTTCTAAATTCAACTCACTATAAATTTTCTACTATTATTAGCATTGGTTACTGAGTAATATTCATTAATCAAATCAACTATCAATTTTCTATGCATGTTTGAATAAATAAAGGTATATATAATCAAAACTTACACACTAGTTTTACCATCTCGTGACCATTTTTTTAGTTGAGATAATTTATTGACCAGAAATATTCCAATACCTCTTGCTGTACAAAAATAAAACAAAATATATTAAAACTATCATATTGAGATTTATCCTTGATCAGAAACCGAAGCAGTATATTCTTTTCATCCTGCTAACCAAAATCAAAGACAGACAAACCTTCGTATCATACAAGAATAATCATTAGTCTCTATCTCTATCATATTATAACTCTGTCAAGTTGAGTATTGGGGAATAATGACCTATTCAAGGTCAGCAGTGTTAATTAATTGTTACTCATGATCACTATTTTGCAAACATATATCATGATACATGATTTATATACTTCCTCATATAAAAAGTTCATTAGATGCAACCAACGTATTGCCAATATGTTTGGGGGATTTTGGGTTTCATTTTGCAGTTC